GATACCTCTGTATACAATGTTTCTGCATTCCTTTAAGTAACCATTTACTCAGCCAGTTATGCTCTGTTTATCTTTTGTTCCACCCGGGATATTTACGTGATATTTACCTGAAATTGCTTCGGGGTGGTTACCACAAACTTATCACTTGGCAACACATGTTCTTGTTTTTCTGCTTCTTGCCTTATATATAGTGTGGAACTCCCCAGAATAAAGGAGACTTGATCAGAGCCCTGTCTTGTCTCCATTTCTCATGTCTCTTGTCCCTCCTCATCCTCACTCTCCCTCTAGAGTCCTCATTGCTCGACCTGCGGGACGGGTCATATGTCTATACCTATCTATTAGATAGATAGATAAATAGATAGATAGATAGATCCCTGGAAAGCAAAGCAGAAATAGTCTTGATAGATCAGAAATTAATAGTTTCTAAAAATCTAAGGCAGACATGACCAGATTAAATGAAGAATGGGCAGAACATAGCTACTGTAGAAGTGGGAACAATATTTTTTCCCTATATATGGTGTATCCCAGAAATTAACAGATGTAATAATATTAATAATATTCTTATTAAAAGTAAGATAAAAGAAATCAAGAACAAGACAAAATGGCTGCATATGCTTGCAACTGAGAAAAAAAGATACAAGAATAGGAATGAATAAAAATAAAACTGTTAATATTTCTAGATGATATAATAGTTTACCTAGCAAACCCCAAAGAAGCAATTTGATGAGCCAATAAAAAACTAAGATGTTAATGCATGATTAGATACAATAATATCATATAAAAATACTACACCTTTCTTCAGCACCAGCAATAACCAATCAGAATTAATCCATTTGGTATATTTTCTTTCTTTTTCAATAAGAAATTACATATACAGTTGAAACTCCTTGTGAGCCTCTTCGCCATTTCATTCAACTCTCTCCAACTCAAAGGTAACCAGTATCTTACGTTGTAATTTTTCATTCCTATGCATGTTTTTTTAAATCATTTTTTATTTTTCAATTGACATAAAATATTATATTAGTTTCAGGTGTACACCCCAGTGATTAAACATTGTAAAACTTATTAGGTGATCATCCCCAAAAATCTCATAATCATTTGACACCATACATAGTTATTAGAATATTGACTATATTCCCTATGCTTTACACCCCCATGACTATATTATAACTACTATTTTGTACTTCTAAATCCCTTCACCTTTTTTACCCATCCCCCCACCATTCTCCCATCTGGCTACCATCAAAATGTTCTCTATATTTATGAGTTGGTTTCTGTTCTGCTTGTTTGTTTACTTTGATTTTTAGATTCAATTATTGATGAATATATATTGCCATTTCATTGCTCATGTTTGTTACCCTTTCTTCTTCTTCTTCTTCTTCTTCTTCTTCTTCTTCTTCTTCTTCTTCTTCTTCTTCAAGAAGACCCTTAATATTTCCTGCAACAGTGGTTTGGTGGTGATAAACTTCTTTAGCTTTTTCTTTTCTTAGAAGCTCTTTATCTTAATTCTAAATGATAACTTTGCTGGGTAGAGTAAGCTGGGTTGTAGGTCTTTGCTTTTCATTATTTTGAATGTTTCTTGACACTCCCTTCTGGTCTGCAAAATTTCTGTTGAGAAATCAGCTGACAGCCTTATGGATGCTCCCTTGTAGGTAACTAACTGCTTTGGCCTTGCTGCTTTTAAGGTTCTCCCCCTGTCTTTAAACTTTGGTGTTTTAATTATTATGTGTCTTGGTGTGGGCCTCCCTGGATTCCTCTTGTTTGGGACTCTCTGTGCTTCCTAGACTTGTATGTCTATTTTCTCCACCAGGTAAGGAAAGTTGTCTGTCATATTTTTTTTCAAATAGGTTTTCAATTTCTTGTTCCCCCTCTTCTCCTTCCAGCATCCCTATGATGCAAATGTTGGTATGCCTGAAGTTGTCCCAAAGACTCCTTACACTCTCTTCATATTTGTGGATTCTTTTTTCTTTTTGCTTTTCTGACCAGGTATTTTTTACTTCCTCATAGTCCAAATCATTGATTTGATTCTTGGAATCCTCTACTCTACTGTTGATTCCCTGTGCATTATTCTTCATTTCAGTCAGTGTATCCTTCATTTCTGTCTGGTACTTTTTTATGTTGTTAACGTTCTCACTAAGTTCCTTGGAGATCTCCTTTAGTTCCTTAAAGGTCTCACTAAGTTCTTTGAGCATCCTTATAACCATTGTTTTGAAATCTGTATCTGGTAGTTTGGTTACTTCCATTTCATTAATTCTCTTTCTAAAGATTTCTCATGTTCTTTCCATTGCAACATTGTTTCTTTGTCTCTGCATTTTGGCTGCTTCCCTGTGTGTGTTCCTATGTCTCCCAGACTTGGTAGAGTGGTCTTACATAGTAGGTGTCCTGTAGGGCCCACTGGCTCAGCCTCCACAATCACCTGAGCTGGGCATTCCAGGTGCCCCTCTGTGTGGGCTGTGTGCACTGTCCTGTTACAGTTGAGCCTTGATTGCTGTTGGTATCACTGGGAGAGATTGACCTCCAGGCCAGTCAGTTATGAGGATCAGCTGCGACTACTGAGAGAGCTGCTGTGTAGGAGCCAACCCTATGGAGCAGGACTTGCTTCAGTGGGGCTTAGTGTTCCCTGAGTCTACCCCTTGAGTGTTCCACTAATAGAAGTGGTAGGGTTGTAATCTGATGTGGTCTGAAGCTGTCCACCAGGTAAACGAGCTCTGGGGCCTCCTGGTGGTGTAAAGTCAGCCACTGTCTGTGCCCTGCCTGAGGCCACCTGGCACAAGCTACAGATGGCTGCTACTTGTGATGGGCTTGGAGGTGCCAAGGAGAGGCCAAGCTCTGAACCAAGGCAGGCTGCCTCTAGTGCCAGCCCTGGAGCCACTTAATGAGAGGTATGGGGCACAATGATGCCAGCTGCTACTTGTTTAAGAGATTTTAGGAAAGTCTGAAGCATGAGCCCAGAGAGGCCATTTACATGAAAAAGCAATTGAAAACAGCTTGGATGAGGCTGCAAGTTGTGTGGGGAAAGGTCTCAGGGAATCACTAGGATGGGACGAACAGTGTGAGCCAGGTTGATGGAGTCTCAGATATGGTGCCCACCTGTTGGTTCTATGGTGGGGAGGGTTCAGCAAAGGCACAATGGCCTCTGCCAGCACTGTTTTCTGAGAGAAAACTACCCCTCCAGCTCTTGCCCTGATGCTGGACAATTCCGTTTTTCCCCATATGTCCCTGGTTCTTAAAGGCTGCTGCCCCAATGCTGGAGCTCAGAGGGACTGAGTCCACGCACAGGCCCTGTAAGAGGAACTGCCTGGGCCTCCAGAAGCCTCTGTATCTCTCAGCCACAATCCGTGTTGGTTTTTATACTCTAAAGATATGGGAACTTCTCTTCCCAGCTGAGGGTCTAGTGTGAGGCTGGGACCCCTTACTCCTTAGTGGGGACCTACAGAGCCAAGATATCCCTCCCAATTAAAAACCGTCACATGTGGGTGTGGGACCAACCCGTTCTGTCCCTCCGACCCTCATACCAATCTGGCTGTGGCTTTTTCTTTAATTCCCTAGTTGTAGGACTTCTGTTCAGCCAGATTTCAGGCAGTTCTAAATGATGGCTGTTCCGTAGTTTAGTTGTAATTTTGATGTGGTTATGGGAGGAGGCAAGTACTACTTTAACCTACTCCAACATCTTTCTATGCTTTTTATATTTTGTCATGTGTGTGTCCTTAAATATATATATATATTATTAAAATTATTTCAAAATATAAAGTTAATTATAAAGTTACTTGAGTAATATATATTCAAATTGTGAACAAATGGTATTAGATTATACACACACACATACATATCATTTTGCAACTTGCTTTCACCCACTAATAGCTTTAGACTAATTCAGGTTGATATTTACATGTTTAGGGGATTCTTTCTCATCATCTGAAATTAATATGGATGCATACTTTTTGAAATATACATATATTTTTTATATCCAGAAATGTTTCTGGATAGTAAAACTATGCACTTCAAAAGACATATGGGTTAATAAATGGACTGAATGGTTGTACCCCTGTCATTCATATGTTAAAATCCTAACCCCCAGTGTGATAGGAGGTGGGACCTTCAACAGCTAATTGGGCCATGAGGATGGAACAATCATTAATAGGATTAGTGTCCTTATGCAAGAAAACTCAAAGAGCTCTCTCTCTCTCTGCCATGTGAGGATATAATGCAAATGGGAAGAGGGCCCTCAGCAGAACCTGACCACGTTGACATCCTAATCTTGAACTTCTAGCTTCAGACAATGAACAATAAGTTCCTGTTGTTCATAAGCCACCAAATCTATGAAGTTTTATTTTAACAGCCTGAACTAAGACAGTTAAAAATAAATATCAGAAAGAAAATTCAAAGCAGCTTTGAAAAAATTAGAGATAACTTCAGTGTCCTTCAATAGGAAAAAAGTTAAATAAATTATGGTACATTCATCATATGAAAAATGACTTTAAGTATTTAAAAATAATTTTGTAGATCTATAAGTATTGATGTAAAAAGATTTCTAAGATAAAAAAGAAAATACAAAATAATACATTCTCTTTCATGTTAAAAATGTTAATTGTGTATTTATCATCGCATATATGTAAATATATTTTAGATAATAAAAAAATATAATGTTGAGTACCCTTCAGTAAGTGAATGAATTTGAGGGAAATTATTGCTTTTACTATCTATTCTTAGAATTTTTTAAATGAGAATATGTTCTTCTAGTGTATTGTTTAGGAGATAAATTGCTGAATCATAAATAGACAAATACTCGACAAAAAAAAACTGATCCATTAGAATAGACAAAGAACTCCCAGGGTATATAATGCAGTAAGAGCTGACCAAATTATTAGCTTTTTAGATGCTTGTAATTGGCATTCTTATAACCTAAGACTGTAACTAAGTTTCCATTTTATTTTTACTTTTCTTTATATTTGTTTAATTAAAATACAAGAAAGCAAAACAGTGGTGATGAACACACTTACTGACAGATCTCAAAGTTTTCAGTCGGAGACTACAACCACGAAAATTCAAGCGCAGCACATTTAGACGCCACCTTTGCAGAGTAGACACTATATATTTTTCCATGATCACATTTTTTACTGTGGAAAAATCAATCTAAAAAGGATGAACAAAATATATTAAGAACTGAAAAAAATCTTTTGAATATAAACTTTAAAAATATTTTTAAAGTATCAAGAACTAAAATTTCTTTATAACATCACTTATTTGGGGACTTTTGGTGTTGTTTTTCATGCTCATTCTCAGCTTTAATTAAAAACAGATTCAAAATGTGTAGCCCAGGTCAACAGCTGTGAGGGTGGTGGGCTCACATCCACCCCAACCTGGGTAAGTTATCGTGGAGCGGCCTGTATGCTTCCCATCGACCCAGGTGAGCCCCAAGGCTGCCCCCCACCTCATTGTCAATGCTTCCTGGGGTAATATTTCTGCCTGTTTTATGAGCACAGACTACATATTGAGTCCTTGACTATGGGAAAAACAATTAAGAGTGTGTGATTTATAATGATCTTTTCATAAATCATCACTTGGAGGTCATTTTAGAGAAAAGGAAGGATGACCTCAGTGGACCTGGCTGATTGTATGTAAAACTGAAGAGCACAGAGGTTTATGTGAGTTCTGAATGGCCAGGGCTGGTTGATAAACAATAACATTGATATCATAGTATTGATAGTATTTTTCAGTTGAAAGAATGTTTATGAACATCCAATTTTTTGCCTTCTGAACAAAGCAATTCTTAGTGCTAAATGCTTGTTATAGTTGTGCCACATTTGAACATTCACAAATAAAGGCAAAAAGTAATCGAAGATGAAGGGCAATACAGAATTGTGGAAAGAGAAATTTGCTGAACATAATAAAAACAACTTCCTATCCTGGCTTTGTTCTTCCCTGCCATGTGCTCATATAATCTCCATCTTTACCCAGTGAGGTCTCTGAGTAGAAGTGCTGGCTTTTTCTGTCAGGCTTCTGCAGGATTTGTCTTGATCTTAATATTGTACATAATCTTTCTCTTCCAGACCATTTATATTCATTTTTTTCCCTTCTTTAAAGGTTTTCCAAAGGAAAAAAGTAACACCCAATCTGTCACAAAGTAAGAGATTTTTTACTTTAAATCTTACTTTGATTTTCAGAGTGTGGTACTAGGACCAGCAGCATCAGCATCACTCAGGAACCTGTTGGAAATTAAAACTGTCACCCTGGTCAGTGTGGCTCAGCAATAGAACGTCGGTCCATGGACCAGAGTCACGGGTTCAATTCCAGTCAAAGGCACATACCTCGGTTGCAATTCATTCCCAGCCCTGGTCGGGGTCATGTGGAGGGGGACCAGTCAATGTGTCCCTCTCACATCAATGTTTCTCTCTCTCTCTCTCTCTCTCTCCCCCCCCCCCCTCTCTCTCCCCTCTCCCACTCCCCCTTCTCCTCCTCCTCCTCTCACTCTATCTGAAGATAAATGGAAAAATATCCTCAGGTGAGGATTTAAAATAAAATAAGAAATTAAAATTGTCAAGCCCCACCCCAGACTTACTGAGATTCTGGGGATGGCAACTAGCAATTTCTTTTAACAATGTCTTCAGATGATTCTGATACATACTAAAGTTTGAGAGTAACTAAACTAAAAATAAATTTAAGACAGGAGTAGTTAATTTGTTAGACATTATGGGTTACCAAAGACAGAAGCATATTTTCTTCTTGCCATTGTTGTGAAAGATAAGAGTAGAACAGTACAGCTAAGCAATGTAATGGTGCTCTGATGGGATATAGAAATGTTGAGGTGACTTATCTAACTAGAGCCCCTGGCATCTTGTTGACTCCTCCTAGTTTAAAGAGTTTCTGCAGAATGGCCCTGGCCATCTATTCATAGGTGAGTCTGAGCACATGATATCATTAGTCCTCCAATTATCAGCAACCAAAGTGCAGTGGTAGTCAGCTATTGATTGGACTTTAGGCAACAGAGAAAATGTTGCCATTGCAACATTGGTTGATGGTATAAATGACCATAGTTGTTGAAATTAAAGTATCATCCATGAAACAGGATAGAGAAACCATAATACATGCTCATTTTCTGGTTTTGGCTGAGACTTCTCTCCAGTGTCTTTTTGGAATAAGAAACACAGGCATGTTCTAAGTTACAAGAATAGTACAAAAACAGTATGGCCCTGGCCAGTTTGGCTCAGCAGTTAGAGCGTCGGCCTGCGGTCCGGAGAGACCTGGGTTCGGTTCCCGCTAAGGGCACGTACTTCGGTTGCAGTTTGTCCCCGGCCCTGGTTGGTCGTGCGGGTGGCAGCCACTCGATGTGTCCCTTCACGTCAATGTTTCTCTCTCTCTCTCTCTTCCTCTCTCTCCCTCCCACTCTATCTGTACAAAAGATGGAAAAATGTCCTCGGGTGAGGATTAAAAAAACAAACAAAACAAAAACAGTATGATGACAAGAATAGTACAGAGGTACCAACCTAGAAGTGCATATTAGAAAGTGCCTGGTTGTATGCGTGGCTGTGTCATGCAAACACACTAAGAATATCAAACAAGCTTTGTTTCCATGTTGTGTATTTTAGCCCTATTTCATGCTCAGTTGTTTTTTTCCTTTACTCCATATTTTGGGCTGCTTTGTTATGTTTGTTGAATGAATAGTAATAGTTAATATGTATTGCATGCTCTTTACATACAGGCTCTACACTCAGAACTTTACTTCAATAGTTTCCATTTATTTCTGCAGCATCCTAAATTAGGCATTGGCAAGCCTAACAAATACAATAGAACTTTATTTCAATCCAAAAATAATATTCAAATTATTTCTACCATTTAAATTAGAAAATGCTAATGATGTATCTCTTAAAATAACCTTCTTATCTCATCCTTCAGGCTTGAGCCTATGCAAAAGACAAACAAGTATACCTACTCTTGGCGGCCACACAGTGGGGAGCAGTAAAGAAGACAGTCACTACTACATTTGGCTGACAGCAGTCCACTCTCCTTTAAGAATTAGAATGCAGTCATGCACCATTTAACAATATTTCAGTCAACAGCAGACCACACTGTATGAAGGTGGTCACATAAGATTATAATAGCCAGGCTTGTGTGGCTCAGTGGATTGAATGTCGTCCCATGGACTGAGGGGTCCCAGTTTGATTTCTGATCAGGGCACATGCCAAGGTTGTGGGCTCGATCCCCAGTGGGGGGCGTGAACTGGGCAGCCGATTGATGTATCTCTCTCACGTTGATGTTTCTATCTTTCTCTCCCTTCCTCTCTCTAAAAAAAAAAAATTCAATAAAAAAATATTTTAAAAAATATTTTTTCTATATTGATTTAGAAAAAGAGGGAGTGGGAGAGAGAGAAACATCAATGAGAGAGAACATCAACTGGCCGCCTCCTGCATGTCCCCTACTAGGGATTGGACCCACAACCTGGGCATGTGCCCTGACTGGGAATCGAACCGGTGATCTCTTGGTGCATGGGTCGATGCTCAGCCACTGAGCCACACCAGCCAGGCAATAAAAACACATTAAAAAAAAAAAAGAGTATAATGGAGTTGAAAGATTCCTGTCCTAGTGATGTAGCTGTTGTCACATCGTAGCACAACACATTGTTCACATGTTTGTGCTGATGCTGGTGTAAACAAACCTGCTGTGCTGCCGGTGGTGGGAAAGCATAGAACATACAATTATGCACAGTACACAGTACTTGATAATAAATTGACCTGTCCCGCAGGTCGAGCAACGAGGACTCTAGAGGGGGAGTGAGGATGAGGAGGAACAAGAGACACGAGAACTGGAGACAAGACAGGGCTCTGATCAAGTCTCCTTTATTCTGGGGAGATCCACACTATATATAGGGAAAGAAGCAGAAAAACAAGAACATTTGTTGCCAAGCGATAAGTTTGTGGTAACCACCCTGAAGCAATTTCAGGTAGATATCACATAAATATCCTGGGTGGATCAAAAGATAAACAGCATAACTGGCTGAGTAAATGGTTACTTAAAGGAATGCAGAAACATTGTATACAGAGATATCCTGCCTTGGGGCAGGAGATGGCAGAGCAGATTTTAGCAAAATGGATGCCATGCAAACAGTCTCCCACAATAAATGACTATATTACTGATTTAGGTATTTACTATACTACTTATAGTTATTTTAGAATGTACTCTTTCTACTTATGAAAAAAAAGTTTGCTGTAAAACAGTATGCTATGTTATGCAAAGCAGCAGCCTCAGAATTTCGTGTTTACCACATCTCTTAACTGCATCATTTTCTCCTGTGCCTGATTTCATCTCGTGTTGTTTTGTACAGTAACCTGCTGCACAAGCTTATAGCCAAGGAGCAACAGGCTGTAACATACAGCCTGGGTGGGTAGTAGGCTGTACCATCTAGGTTTGTGAAAATGCACTATATGATGTGCACACAATGACAAAATCACCTAACAACGCATTTCTCAGGACGTATCACCATTGGTAAGTGGCACATGACAGTAAAGATATAGCTTCAGGTAGTGACTACTTACATGATTCCACAATAAGCTTATTTGTGTCATTGACATCCAGGAGTGACAAACTTGACTACATATTACCACATCTCTTAAACTGAGGTAGAAGAAAATCTAAACACAAAGAAAAGAAATATATAATTTTGAGAAATATAAATTTTGATATAACGCTTCAACTTACCTTTTTTTTTTTTTTGCTATTAATAATGACAATGCAGTCTATATATTGTAGAAGCAGGGAATTAAGTGCTGGAACTTTATTTGAAGATAGGAATTTTATCTCAAGTACCATAACTTACCTGTTGATGCCTTTGATATACTGTAACCTTTTTAACTGATGGTTGCAGAGGATGATGAGAAAGACAAGCATATTTATTTTCTGAGCGAAAATAACATCCTTCTAGAAAATGAGTGATTTCTAAATGGTGGCTGGTATATAGAAGGCATTCAATAACAGTTTGTTGAATTGAACTGCATTCTTTCTAAAGTTATAAGATTCCTGGGAAAGATCATAAAACCCACCTTAGCTTCTATTTTTGGTAAAAAATAGTAGGTGAGAAAACTTGGAAATCCTCTTGAAACAAAACATCAGTACATAGTAAATAAATATTTTTAAAATATTTCTTTATTTTTTTTTTAAATGCAGCTTTATTGAGGTATAGCTGACATACAAAATTGTAAGATATTTAAAGTGTACATTATAATTTGATATACATATACATTATAAAAGGATTTCCCCCATCTAATTAATTCATCTATCACTTCAGGTATTTATCTTTGTGTGTGTATGAAAGAGAGAATATTTAAGTTCTGTGCTCTTAGCAAATTTCAATTATACAATACAGTGTTATCAACTACAGTCACCATGTTTTACATTAGATCCTCAGACTTTATTCGTCTTATAGCTGAAAGTTTGTATCCTTTTACCAACCTCTCCCTATTCCCCCATCCCTAAATCCTTGACACTTTTCTACTCTCTAAAACAAACGTAATTTTAAAAAACATAACTGGGTTTTCAAAAAAGTAGGGAAAATTCCAGGACCTCAATCTTTGTAAACCTGGACCCATAGTAAGGTGTTCATGCTGTAGTTGCTGAGATGGGGAAGCAGTGGGGATGGTTGCTGTTTTCCATAACAAACAGGTTCAGATTGTACTGGCCATGAAGGGACAGAAAAGGGGTTGTACAAAGCTGGGAGTAATAACTGAATGAGAGAGAGAGAGAAATCCAGGATTATGAGAGATATTTAAACAAAAATAATAAAATAACACCTATCTAATAGCAACAGAAAAATTAAGATAACTTGCCTTGGATTTAAAAGAGATTCTCAACAAATTTGTAACAAACCGGCTATCATGTCAATTGGGATTTGAATTTTTAATTATTTGTGGAATCCAATTTGATTGTATTACCATTATAATTGGATTTGATACATTAACATGCAAACAGCTTCCAGGTTGGTAGTAACTGTGAGACGTTTGGTAGAAATAATACCACTCTCTCTAAAGAGACACATCCTCAGACTGAGCCTTATAGAATTTCCACAGATTAAGCCCTAAGGAAATAAGCTCTCAATAAAAATTACAAAACACATGAAGGGAAAATAAATCCAACAATATACAACAACATAAAAACAATAACTTTATTAATAAAATTGTCAGATAGTAATTATAAAAACATGAAGGTGAAAAATACATGCAAAAAATTTAAATTCTTGAGAAAAGCTGTTTTTGAAAAAAGACTGGGCAGATTTATAAAGGAACCAAATAAAATTCATGGGAATTAAATATACAGTGATTGAAATAAAAAAACGCAATGGTAAAGATATAGCAGTTGAAAACTAACTGGTAAGAGAATTACCAAACTGAAATAAGTATTGAAAGAAATTACAGATAATAATAATAATATCATTGTAATTAATCCAGTTGCTAATTAACCAGAAAGAAGCAGAGGAAAGGCCAAATAGAAGCATGCCCAGTAAAGTCTGAGTGACATAGGGAACCTAGAAACAGGCCAGAATAGGCATGGCCACTGCAGCTATGAGAAGACTTGATATTTAAACCCCTAAACAAGGAAGTTTCCTCTCTTGCTCTTACTGCTCGTGCCTGATTCCTGGCTTGCAGGGCTCTCATACCCTGGACTTACCCACATGGCCCACAGCCATGTGGACCCCAAACATGGACTAATGGACTGTGAATAGCCTGATGCTACAAGGGACCCAGCTCCACCATGGAACAGAAACTTTGGACACTGGCCTTTCTTCTAGCTCTATTGAATACCCAGCTACACTTCTTCCAGGACTGGTTTAAGAGAAATAGGATTTGGCAAATCCAGTGATGTAATTCTACACAAATAAAGCTTTCTACCACATCTCATCCTCCTGTGGGGGCCTCTGGAAGTACTTATTCCAGCAGCACCGCAAGAAGCCCACTCTCACTAGCAATGGAGAAAGGCAATCCATGCAATTCTTCTGTAACAAATAAGCATAGAGAGAGAAAGAGATGGAATATACAAAGGCGGTTATGAGACACATGTTTATAACACAAAAAGGTCCAGCATTCTACATATCTTTATGGGACTTCCAGGAGTAGAGAACAGAGAATGGAGTCAAAGCAAAATTCAGAACACCATAGATATAAATGTTCTAGAACTGATGAAAAGCAACAATTAGTTTCAAGAAGTTCAAGAAATCCCAACAGAAAAATCAAAAGACACCATGGCATTATAGTGAAATTGTAAAAGGGCATAATCAAAGGGAAGTCTTAAATGCAACCAGAGACAGATTACCTACTAAAAAATGCCACTTAGACACCACAGAAGGCAGAAAGCAGAAAATATTTGTCAATCTCAGATACCACATGCAAGTAAATAACAACTCAGTAAAGATACTTCAAGAATGATTGAGAGAGTTTGCTTCTAATAGACCCTTCACAAAAGAACTTCTAAAGGACACTAGAATCAGAAGAAAGAAGTAATATGGAAATAGTAATGATAGGAAAAGAAACTAAAAAGCATAAGTTATTGACCTATACAAAAGTATAATAATAATGACTGAGGTGGGGTACAAAACAAAGTGGAACAAAACACTAGATGATACTGATATTCTAAAACTAGAGAGTATTCTAAATTCTGGTAATTATTCAGGAAGAAAAAACAGATATTAATTTACTTTAAGCTTTATTAAGGTAAAGGCACATGCCAAAAATATTTAAGAGAAAACACTGAAATAGTAGAAATAGAATGTATATCTTCTAAAACATGAAAATGGGGATAAAGGAGTAAATTAAAAATTTTTTTCTTTATTGATTTTTAGAGACAGAGGAAGGGAGGGGAAGAGGCAGATGGAAACATCCATGAGAAAGAACATCAATTGGCCATCTCCTGCATGCCCCCCACTGGGGATCTTGCCCATAACCTGGGCATGTGCCTGACCTGGAATTGAACCAGTGGCCTCTTGGTGCATGGGTCGATGCTCAACCACTGAGCCACACTGGCTGGGCAGGGGGTAGATCTTATTTTATTTTATTTATTTATTTTGGGGGGTACGTGCCCCTAGTGGGAACTGAACCCAGGACTCTCTGGTCCGCAGGTTCAACCACTGAGCCAAACCAGCCAGGGCAGGAGGTAGGTTTTAGAACTCAGTGAATAAAGGCAGAAAAAAAGAAAAAGTAAGCCCATATAAAGAAGGATATATAGTATAAAATGAGATGAGAAAAATAAATCCAAGTATATTCAGTAACAATAAATTTTTACAAATTCACTGGTTAGAAGACAAAGACTATCCCTAATAATGTTCTTCCTTTAATGTTTTCCCTCTGATATTAATATAGCTATTATGTTTATTTTTATTTTTGTACACCTTGTTTAGTATAGTATTTTAGGTGGATTTTAAAAGCTTATCTGACAAAGAGGGTCACTACATAATAGTTAAAGAAAACAATTCAGGGAGAAGAAAAAATGGTGGCGGAGTGAATGGAGCTACACAGCCCATCTCCCAGGACCAAATTGGATTCACAATGAAAATAAAGGCAAATCTTCAGGAAGGGGCAACCAAAAGACACCTTGGAGGACCACATAACCAGGGACACTGACTCAATCCTGATAGGCTTGTGAGGACACGAGAGGGGGCAAGGAGCCCACGGTCCGCAGCGGCCTGGGCGGGGACCGGGGAACTCGGTGTCGGGAAGTTACTGCTAACGCCTCTGCTGAGACCCTGCCTGAGTCCTACGAACTCTGCTGCCTGCCAAGCCCCCGGCTGGTGCCACGAACGGACTCACTGGGGCCAGGGAATTTGACAGCGGGAAGTAGCTGCTAAAGCCTCCGCTGCGACCCTGCCTGGGTCCTGGGAACTCTGTTGCCTCCCAAGCCCTCCACTGGTACCACGGACTTGCTGGGGCCAGGGAACTCAGTGGCAGCGGAAGTTGCTGCTAACACCTCCGCTGTGACCCCGCCTGAATCCTGTGAACTCTACTGCCTGCGAAGCCGTCAGCTGGTGCCGCACAGGCTGGCAAGGACTGGCTCCGACCAGGGGACTCAGCAGGACACTGCTACCCAGGCTGACTCCTGCGAATTCTGCGTGCTAAGCCCTTGGCTGGTGCCACACAGACTCGCTAGGACCAGGGGACTCTGCTGGAAGGTGCTGCCACCCCGGCAGTGTCCCGCTACCGCGGCTCAGTCCTGGGGCTTCTGCTGAGTGCAAAACCCTCTGATGGTGCCACAGCCGTGGCCACCCTTGGCTGGAAGCAGCGCTCTTGGGTTAAAAGTCCCAGGCAGCTCCACGACACAGAGTCTAGACAGAGGCTAAATAGGCAGCAGCCACTCACCTTGGGCTTCAGCAGAGGGAGGGCAGACTGGACTGGAACTGTGTGGGAACACTCGGGTTTTGGAAGGTGCTAAGAGCTTTCGCCGAGTGCAGCCACGCAAGACTGTGGTCATTTTATTCCTTCCCAGGGCACTGGAGAGAGGCAAGGCTGAGGCCCCTACCTCAGAGATTCAATCCCACCTGGTGGCCTTGAAATGCTAATTGAGGCCCATTAACAACCAGCAGCTGCCCCACCCTCGGGAAATCCTCTTACACTGAGTACTTGAGGGAGTTTTTCAGGCAACTCAAAAACTA